AACTGGGAATTTGTAAGGAGCAAAACCTAGTATTTACATGTTGAGTTTCGACTCGAGCAATAGAGCAGAGAGGTTTTCGATACCAACCTACCAAGTGTTATACAGCCGATAGGTTACAGCCAACAAAGGTGTGTTTACACCGGCTGCATATATAAGCGTGACACCAACGAAAGTAAACACCGAAAAAAAAACTCACAGAGTTCTCAGTCATCGACACGGACGCGTAACAGCGAAAGCGAATAAGGATCTGGACGCGAAAAGCGACAAGATATCCAAATAGAGAGAAAAAGCGAGAGAAGGTGCAAAAAATGGAAAGAACTCTCAAAATGCCGGATCTTCGTGAATGGGAGAAAAAATGAGCGACGCGCATTCGACCGCAATTGCTTCACGACAGATTTTCGCGCGGATATGTAATCATCAAAAAAAGGAAACGATAACTAAGATAAGATAGGGCGAAACCCTTGATTTTCGCAAAGAAATAAAAAGCAAAAAAATAAAAAATCAGGCTTTATTGCAGTAATTGAGGTCAACATGTACAAACATGCAAATACGAGAGATGTTGGGCAAAAATAAATTAGGGAACGTCGTAGCCTTAGCCCTCTGTCCCTCAGCTAGCAAATAATTGAAACAAACATTCAACAAATAAAACAACCCTATATTCCAGCAAATGACATCACACAGATGAGGTTCAGAGCTCACGACTCGGCTGCAGTCGGCTCCTCTTTTTTCTCGACAGCCTCATTAGTGCCATTTGCATCTGCAGCCACTTCTTTGACGTCATCTGGCTTCTCTAGCTTATCTTCCTTCGGACGCATACTGTATTTTCTCTTCGCATAATAATTAGGCATTGCTCCAACCATCATCGTTTTTCGCACCAGCTGGACCATGAATGTCAGATCGGCGTCTAGAAGCTGTTACTTTAACAAAAATTCAAGGCAAATCATTGTGAAAGAAATTATCTCACTCTTAAATAGGCAAAAGAAGAGTGCAAACAAGAAAACATGAATATAGCAGCCTGATCAGGAAACTGCTTACGTTCAAAGAATACGATCCTAATCTTATAAA